CTTCTACATGGGCCCAGGCGCCCGGAGCTGGATCGCCTAAAATTTTGCCGGCCCATCAAAAATGACCAAATGAACAATAATCACCGCCTACCATGACCCTTAGTAGTTTTTTGGCATTTTAGGGCCATAAAAACGGAATTCCGCCTGATTTCCAGATTTTCGTGTGATATAGCTCACGCCTCCTGCATGGACCCCGGCGACCGGACCTAGATTGCCTAAAATTTTATCGGCCCATCAAAAACGACCAAAGGAATAATAGTCATCGTCTCGCCATGACCGTTACTCATTTTTTGGCTTTTTAGGGCCATAAAATTAGAATTATGCCCGATTCTTAGTTTATCGTGTGCTATAATAGCCCACGCCTTTTGTATGGGACCAGGCACCCGGACCCGAATCACCTAAAATTTTGCCGGCCCATCAAAAATAACCTAAGGAACAATAGTCACTGCCTCGCCATGATTGTAATTCGTTTTTTGGCATTTTAAGGCCATAAAACTAGAATTCCGCCCGATTCTCAAATTTTGTGTCCTATATAGCCCACGCCTCTTGCATGGGCCCGGGCGCCCGGATCTAAATCGCCTAAAATTTTGTCTGCCCATCAAAAATGACTAAGAAATAATAGTCAGCGCTCGCCATGATTGTTACTTATTTTTTGGCGTTTTAGGGCCATAAAATTGGAATTCTACATGATTCCCAGATTTTCGTGTGCTATAGCCCACGCCTCCTGCATGGGCCTTAGCGTCCGGACATGGATCGCCTAAAATTTTGACGACCCATCAAAAATGAAGAACGATCATGGTGAAGCGATGACTATTGTTCGCCTGATATCATGCAGATGGCGTGGACGATAGTACATGAAAATTTGAGAATCGCCCTGAATTCCTGTTTTATAGCCCTAAAACGCCAAAAAAGAAGGAACGTTCATAGCAAAGCAATGACTATTTATCATTAGGTCATCTTTTATGGGCGCACAAAATTTTAGGCAATTCGGGGCCATTCGCTCGAATACATACAGATAGCGTGGACTATAGACATGAAAATCTGAGAATCATCGTGAATTCCTGTTTTATGGCCCTAAAATTCCCAAAAACAAAAGAGAGGAACGGTCATCGCGAAGAGATGAATATTGTTCATTATGTCGTTTTTTATAGGCCCGCAAAATTTTAGGAGATTCGGGGTTGGTCGCCTTAATTCATGCAGATGGCGTGGACTATAGCACAAGAAAATCTGAGAATCATCTTGAATTCCTATTTTATGGCTCTAAAATGCCAAAAAATGATGAACGATCATGGCAAAGCGATGACTATTATTCATTAGGTCATTTTTTATAGGCCCGCAAAATTTTAGTAGATTAGGAGTCGGTCGCCCGAATTCAGGTAGATGGATTGGACTATAGCAGACGAATATTAGGGAATCGTTCTGAATTCCTGTATTATGGCACTAAAATGCCATTAAACAAGGAACAGTCATGGCGAATCGATGGCTATGGTTCATTAGGTCATTTTTTGGGAACGCAAAATTTTAGGAGATTCGAAGTCGGTGGCCCGAATTCATGTAGATGGCGTGGAATATAGCACAAAATCTAAAAATCGTTTTGAATTCCTGTTTTATGGCCCTGAAATGCCAAAACCGAGGAATAGTCATGGAGAAGCGATGACTATTGTTCATTAGGTCATTTTATATGGGCCCCCAAGATTTTAAGAGATTCGGAGTCGGTCGCTCGAATTCATGCAGATGGCATGGATTTCAACATACGAAAATCTAGGAATCGTCTTGAATTCTTGTTTTATGGCCCTAAAACGCTCAAAAATGATGAACGGGCATGACGAAGCGATGATTATTTTTTATTAGGCCATATTGTATGGGCCCTTAAAATTTAAGGAGATTTGGAGTCGATCGCCCGATTTGATGCAGATTTGGACTATGGCACACGAAAATTTGGGAATCGTCCTAAATTCATGTTGATGGCCCTAAAATATCGAAAAATGAGGAACGGTCATGGCGAAGTGATAACTATTATTCATTAGGTCATTGTTTATGGGCCCGTAAAATTTTAGGAGATTGAGAGTCAATCGGCCGAATTCAAGCAGATGATGTGGACTATAGCACACGAATATTTGGGAATCGTCCTGAATTCCTATTTTATAGCCCTAAAATGCCAAAAAAAAAAGAGGAAATTCATGTGAAGCGATGACTATTGTTCATTAGGCCCTTTTTTATGGGACCACAAAATTTTAGGAGATTCGGGGTCGGTTACCCGAGTTCATGCAGATGGCATGGACAATAACACACGAAAATCTGGGAATCGTTCTGAATTTCTGTTTTATAGCTCTAAAACGCCAAAAATGGATTGTGCAAATGGCGTGGACTATAGAACATGAAAATCTAGGAATCGTCCTGAATTCCAGCTTTATGACTCTAAAACACCAAACAAAAAAAGGAACGGTCATGACGAAACGATGATTATTGTTCATTAGGTTTTTTTTCTATGGGCCAACAAAATTTTAGGAGATTTGAGGACGGTCGCCTGAATTCATGTAGATGGCGTGGACCAGAGCAAACGAAAATGAGGGAATCGTCATGAATTCCTATTTTATGGCCCTAAACGCCAATCATGGAAAAACTATGACTATTGTTCTTTAAGTCACTTTTTATGGGCCAGATAAACTTTAGGATATTCGGAGGGGGTTGCCCGAGTTCTTGTAGATGGCGCGGACTATAGCACACAAAAATTTATGAATTGTACTGAATCCCGGTTTTATGGCCCTAAAACGCCAAAAAACGAGGAACGGTCATGGCGAAACGATGGCTATTGTTCATTAGGTTGTTTTTTATGGGCCCGTAAAATTTTAGGAGATTAATGGTCGGTCGCTTGAATTCATACATATGGCATGGACTATAGCACACGAAAATCTGGTAATCATCCGGAATTCCTATTTTATGGCCTTAAAACGCCAAAATTCGAGGAACGTTCATGGCGAAGCGATGACTATTGTTCAGCACATCGTTTTTTATAGGCCAGCATAAGTTTAGAAGATTCGGAGTCGATCGCCCGAATTCATGCAGATGGCGTGGACTGTAGCACACGAAAATGTGGGAATCGTCCTGAATTCCTGTTTTATGGCCCTAAAATGCCAAAAAACGAGCAACGGTCATGGCGAAGCGATGACTAATGTTTAGTAGGTTTTCTATGGGACCGCAAAGTTTTAGGAGATTCAGAGTCGGTCGCCCGAAATGATGCAGATGGTGTGGACTATAACACACAAAAATTCGGGAATCATCCTGAACTCCTGATTTATGGCCCTAAAACGCCAAAAAACGAGGAACAGTCATGGTGACGTGATGAATATTGTTCATAAGGTCATTTTTTATATGCCTGCAAAATTTAAGGAGATTTGGGACTTGTCGCCCGAATTCATGCACATGGCATTGACTATATAGCATAGGAAAATTTGGGAATCCTGGAATTCCTGTTTTATGGACCTAAATGCCCAAAAAACGAGGAACAGTCATGGCGAAGCGATGACTATTATTCATTAGGTCATTTTTATGGGCCCGCAAAATTTTAGTAGATTCGTAGTTGATCGCCTGAATTCATGCAGATAGTGTGGACTATAGAACATGAAAATCTAGGAATCGTACTAAATTCCTGTTTTATTGGCCTAAAATGCAAAAAAAAAAAAAAAGGAATGGTCATGGCGAAGAGATGATTGTTCGTCATTAGGTCAATTTTTTTGGGCCCGTAAAATTTTATGAGATTCGGAGCCGGTCGCCCGAATTCATGTAGATGGCGTTGACTATGCACACTAAAATATGGGAATCATCCTGAATTCCAGTTTTATGACCCGAAAACATCATAAAACAAGGAACAAACATGGTTAAGCGATGACTATTGTTCATTAGGTTATTTTTTATGGGCCCGCAAAATTTTTAGGAGATTCAGGGTTGTTCACCCGAATTCATGCATCCATGGACTATAGCACGCGAAAATCTGGGAATCGTCTTGAATTCGTATTTTACGGCCCTAAAACGCCAAAAAACAAGAAACGGTCATGTTGATTCTTTAGAATCTTTTTCGTGTATATTACTACATGATGATTCTTTCGAATCTTTTTTACGGACGTTGATTGGACTGAAATTGTTTAGGTCTAGAGGAAATGGTCTAGTGACCTATAATCATCGTTTCGTCATGATTTTTGGGTTTATTTTATGGTATTTCAGGATCATGCAAAGCAAATTTGTAATTATATCCATTTTTCGTGTATATTTATGCATGTTGATTCTTTATAAATTTTGCGTGCTCCAATTGGCCTAAAATTTAGTGGGTCCATAAGGAACGGCCTAGTGTCCATACTCACTGCTTCGCCGTGATTTTTAGGTTCATTTTATGATGTTTCAGTGTCATGCAACGCAAATTTGTGATTATTTTCACTTTATCGTGTGTATTAGTACATGTTGATTCATTACAATTTTTTGACGGACTTCGATTTGCCTGAAAGTTTGTAGGTCCATAGGAAACGGCCTAGTGACTAGTACTTATTGCTTATCCATGACTTTCGGGTTCATTTTATGGCGTTTTGGGGTCATGCAACACGAACTTGTGATTATATCCACACCACTTTTTCATGTGTATTAGTACATGCTGATTCAGTAGAATTTTTTTAACAGACTTCGGTTGGCCTGAAATTTTGTTGGTTCATACGAAACGGCCTAGTAACCAATACGTGTTGCTTCGCCATGACTTCCGGGTTCATTTTATGTCGTTTTGCGGTCATGCAATACGAATTTGTGATTATATCCATTTGTTCGTGTGTATTAGTACATGCTGATTCAGTAGAATTTTTGTGACGGACCCTGATTGGCCTAAAATTATGTAGGTCCATACGAAACGGCCTAGTTACCGATACTCATTACTTCGCCATTAGTTTTGTGGTTTATTTTATGGCATTTCGGGGTCATGTAACGCGAATTTGTGATTATATTCACTTGATTGACTAAGAGACATGAATGATGATTGAAATTAAAATTGTTAAGATCCCATAGGAAGCATACCTTACATCTTTGCAAAATAAGAGACCGAACCTTCACCTCATAAGACTGGAACAATGCAAATCACCAATAATCTCCACAAGAACAGGCACCTTCCTTAAAGTGGTGAAACCGATTTGCGTCACGAACAACAATCACCCTACTTGTAATCTGAGAAACAAACTTACAAAATGTGTGACAGTCACCACATACTCTAAGGTTCTTCATAATTCTAATAGTAGAATGCTCAGGTGTGCTTATGAGGCCAAATGCAATAGCCAACTTTTCACTATGGGAGAACAGGTTTCCAAGCTTAAGTTCCTCATCAACATCATGCAACACAAAGTTTGTATCAGGGACATAACCAGCAGCCTCTAATTCCTCGAGCAGACATTTCAACTTCTCGTATATCTCCTTTGATTGATGATGGGTGTGGTCTCCAACGCTAAATCGATGAATCTTGTTATCAACTTCAATCCATGTCCAACCAGGAATTTTCTTCAATTTCTGATGGGTCATTAATTCCCTAATCTTGGCCACGTCTTGCCATTTACCTGCTTTCGCATATATATTTGAAAGCAAAACATAATGTCCTGGATTTTGAGGTTGCAATTCAATCAAGGATTTTGCTGCCTTTTCTGCAAGCTCTACATGGCCATGAATTCTACACGCTCCGAGTAATGCCCCCCAAAGCCCTTCATCTTTTTCAACGGCCATATGATCTATTAACTCTAACGACTCGTCAATTTTCCCAGCACGGCCCAAGAGGTCCACCATACAAGTAAAATGTTTAATATCCGGCTTCACTCCATATTCGTTCTGCATAGAATTAAAAAGCCGTTTACCTTCTTCAACCAGCCCACTGTGACTACACGCATACAAAAGAGAAACAAATGTGATCTTGTTAGGCAATATCCCGCTCCTTAACATCATAGGGAACATATCAATAGCTTCGTGGCCTTGGCCGTGATAACCATACGCCCCTATCATCGCGCTCCAAGTTATAACATTCTTTTCTCTCAAACCATCAAACACTTCTCTAGCAACATCAACAGATCCACATTTAGCATACATGTCAACCATTGCCGTCCCCAAGATAACATCCAACGAAAACTTATTCCTCACTATATATTCATGTAAAACCTTAGCCTTATGCATTGCCCCCGTCTTTGCACAAGCATTTACTACATTTACGAGAGCAACTTTATCTGGGACAACATCTTCCTCTCTCATTTGATCAAACAAAACTAAAGCCTCACTCGGATCCCCACACTCCGTACACGCTCCAATCATGACTGTCCAAGTCACAAGGTCCCTCTTAGGCATTTTATCAAACAACTGTTTTGCATCACCAATAACCTTACATTTTGAATACATATCCACAAGTGCTGCAACCACAAAAACATCTGATTGCAACCCATTTTTGTAAACAACATTATGAATCTTTCTACCCATTTGAAGGTCCATTGTATCCCTACATACCCTAATCAAAAAAGGCAAAGTATAATTATCTGGTTTATCCCCAGATCTTAAATACTCCCTAAAAGTCCTTAAGCTGTTGATAAACTCACCAGCTTTAGCATAACCACCAATCATAACACTCCAAGAAACAGCATTTTTTCCACTCAAACTACAAAACAAGGCATAAGCATAATCCAAAGACTTATGCAAACTGTATATGTATAAAAGTTTGTTAGCAACAATTTGGTTTTTAATTAATCCATTAGTTGTTATCTGAGCATGAACCTGCTTTACCTGATAAAGACTTTTACAATTTAAAAGTTGAGAAAGATAGAATCTTGGGTCCAAATATTGAGAAAATTGTGAAGTTGGTGTTTGTGAAATGTCGTTCGGTTGATTTGAAAAGGTATGTTGATGCAGTTCTTGATGAGTTGTGGGGTCAACTAGGGAGGTAGCTGAAGAATAACGAAGTGTTGCATTGTTGGAGGGAAATGTCTTTGGGGTTTTGGATTTGAACATCAAACTTGAGTTTGGCACAGGCAATGACAATTCCTTCCCCTCCGATGGGTTGCTATTGCTATTTTATGTTTGAAATATTTGAAAGGTACGACTAATTCAGATGGAATAAACGTCTTATGTAATATTTAAATATGACAATTTAATTCAGAAAACTTAAACAGCCAATGTATTTGCAATAAAAATTAGCTATCTTGTCATTTGCACCTTACATTTTTCGTCAATCTTGCAATAAATTGTCCCTAATTTCATTTCATTTATTTGTCCCTTTAAGTTTCACTATAAACTTTTGATCGTTTGCATTAATAGAATGTCAAGGAAAGTATAGAATAGAATTTGAGACTATTTGAACACAACCCCTCTTGTAAAGTATACTGCTAATTCTGGTTCCATTAAACCTTTTGTAAAGTATACTGCTCCGTATTATATTTATGTTGGGATCTTCTTTGTTTGGGCATAGCACATATGTTTAGATTGATGCCCAACCTTAATACAGAGACTAGTACATCTGTAAAAAAATTCAAACAAATCAATTGGCACCTATATGCAAGTTACCAAAATATAAATATTACTATCTAGCATTGACCGTCGAATGTCATTATAGATCTATTGCACGATGAAACTGCAACTCTTCAAGAAATAGCACTTTTACAATACATAGAAGAGTATCTTTCCTTGACCTAAACTCTCAGGAACCACGCACCAAGCTTTCCTCATTTACAGCCACTTTCTAAATCCCAAGATGGGATTTATTTTTCAGACTGAATTAACCTATAACATATACTGCAGTTGCAGTAATTTACTCGTATTTGTAGGCAGGACCAGTATAGAAAAGAAAATACAGGTACACATTATAAATGATCATATGCACGAGGGAACAAAAAAGACCAATCTGCTAATTGTTAATCTGTGAGAAAGGTGATCGTGGGATAAGTGATGGCTTTACTTCCTTTACTTGAAATGACTCGAATGAATTGTTCTCTCGGAATTCCTCTAGTAGAACCTCCATTGGCATGGCACGCAACGACTCAATTGTAACCTTGCTTGGTACATCTGGCTCAGACCTAATTGGTGTTGCTCCAGTTGGCTCATAATCCTGAGCATCAGTAAGAAGTAACAAAATTCAGCACAACTATATAGTATTCTTTTCTTAACACTAGCGAATAACAAAAGATAAAGAAAAAGCAAGTTGCAAAGTATCATTTATTTTGATGCACATACTAGTTATGCAGCGATTATAAAGTAAATAAAGATGAAGGAATTACTATAAGGTGAATAATAATGTATCAGTTGCTATACAGTTAATAATGAAGCAAGGAATGTTATGTAGATATCATATACATTAAGGGAATTTTTCTCTTTAAATACGTTTATTTATAGCTAATACGGTACTTTTAGCTCACATTCTATCACACATAAATTCCCACATAACTTAATGTCGGTATTATCTACTACAGCCAATTAAATGCTGCATATGTAGGGGTTAATTTTTCTTATACGGCCAACAAAATATTGCATGAGTTATGTGGGAATTATTTTTTCTAATCCCTCAAGACATTGCACATTATTTTATCTGAAATCTTATGCAGGATTTTTTTTTTCTTTCTAATTGCTCCAACGAAATGACCCCTAGTGAAATGCAATGCAGATGGAATATGGTAGCATTATCTTTTCAAAATGGCAACAGCAAAATAGATAGTAACAAAGTGACATTTTGAGAAGCTTTGTCCAGGGTAGTTCCTGAAACTTTTCAAGTGAAGATAGATTCTTGATCAGCATACCATATACTTCTGCTGAAAAGTTTCAAGGGCTATCTGTTCAATGGAGGTAGACTGCATGCAGTGATCTTTCTTAAGTACATCAAGGGTCTCTGAGTGTGCACTGGTAGTATCCAAAACGCCAGATATAGATCCTCTCTCTTCGCCTGACAAGCCTGGATAAGAATGACACCAGAGGAAATATTACAAAACGGCAACAAAAAATCATCCCCAAATAACACCAACCATAAAAACCACCACTATAAGCTACTGTTTTTGCTAATCATTAGTATTATTTTAACAAAAGAAATTACATATTGGCGGCACACGACCAAAATATGGAAACTAATGATTACAGCCGAAAACTAGATAATCTACTATATAAAGTGTACTGCCTCATTTTATCATAAGATACTGAACTTTTTGCTTCTATGAGTGTATTTTTACTTCAAAAATTTATAACTTATTGCCTATCTATAGAAGAACTTCTTTAGCATTGAACTGCACGCCTACCCTTTATTCTGTTACAGAAACCTTAAAAGCTACAGAATCCATAATCAGAACATACTTGACAAATTCTGGAAAACTTACTGTCAATAGATTTAATGATATCTTCGCTATTCCTTTTCACATCTTCTTCAGCAGATTCCCTTGTGGAGTCAAAATCAGTTACATGTTGCTCATTGTTATCGCATATGTTCCTGGCAAAAGAGGAATGTTATACTAAAGCTTGATGCAGTGCTCAAGTTTCTCTCCAAAGAGAAAGCAATAACCTCATATTGGTATTTTATATGCCCAATAAAATAATCGATTCTGAATTTCCATTATATTTCTGCATGCTCCTGTCGCATTGTTTGTTATAAACCTTACGTGATACATTATAGTTGATAATGCCAGTTTAACCACTGACAAGGTTCCAAAACAATTCCAGATAAAGACAATCATCTGATATTCTCCCAACAAATTTCAACTACTTGATGGTTCTCTTCCACCAGTCTAACATCAGTTAAACAAATTCTCAGGTTTCCAGCTACAATGAAGTTGTGTCAGCAAATAGGAAGTGGAGTATTAGAAGTTGCACTTGTAAATACTTACAAACTATTCAATATGGTATGAATGACGAACTATATCACATATTGTACCACTAAAAGAAAGGAAACAGATGGTGAACGGGCACAAATGAAAAAAGATGAAAAAGACACCAGATTTCCCAAAACAGTTTCTTTAGCTAATAGTGTTATTGGACATGAAGATGGAACTGAGAATTGAATAAACACTTAGAAACCTTCCTATCAACAATTTATTCTGATGGCAGTCAGAATGTTACATCTATTGTTTATTTCTAATTGATTGTTTGGGGGTTGGGGGGATCCTTTCCATCTTGAAAAAAATATCCTGATAAACTTCTGGAATCAAATTGAACCTTTGATTTGATAATACTCCTCCAATATTCATTCTCTTTTTTCTTATCATAAATAAACATTATAAAATGCTAAACTTGGGTTTAGACAATTTACTTCCAGACGAATGATTATCGGTTCTTATCCATTTGCAAAACATAAGGTAATAGACATCTTTCATTTATTAAAAGTAACAGATGGGTTACTTATCTGCTCTTTAGGCATGGAATCAGGTACCAAGTAAAATTGGGAACTTACCTGACAACCGAATGCATTGTCAAGACGTGTTGATTGCCCATGTCGTTAACCAATTCATGTGTACTTTGCCACCGTTTCAGAGCTGTTTCAGCAGTGCTTACACTGGAAAGAAAAGCCACACACAATTACTTACAGAAAAAGTAGAAGCAAAATAATAAATATGAAATCAAGGAAATAAAGAAAAAAGACTAATCATTGAAAAAGGACAGCAAATTCAGATCAGAGGTGAAACTTGGTAGAATAGCAATTTCACACATAAAAGGTGCAAATTCAGAAACTTACCACTTCTGCATGAGTGATTCCATTCGGCAGTGTTTAGCAGCTGAGAAATCAGCATTTTCTTTGGTCTCGCCTTCTGCTTGCATATAGAAGTCCTGCCATTTTCTTTTTGCATCTGTTGTAATACCTTCCATAGAGGATACATGCCCATCCAAGAATGTCCTATTTCCAGAAACAGTTTCTCTAAGATCAACAAGCCTTGCACCCACCTGTAAACTAAACTTTGAGAAAGAGAAAGGAAGAAATGGCATATGTAGATCACAAGGGTAAAAAGAACAAACCAGTTCTTTTTGACGACGCATGTGATTGGAGACCAAGGAAGTCACATCAGCAATAAGCTTCTCTGCATCTGATTTTGATTGCTCCTGAAGAAGACAAACTCAATCATCAGACTTAGAGGGAAAACGTCATTTTGCATCGGGTTTCAAAGGTATACCTCGTATGCCTTCTCAAATTCAGCAATAGATTTCGTTTGAATCTCATCAACTGTTGTTGCATGCTTTTCAAGTCTTTTTGATTCGTCCAAAAGCTTGTCAAAAAATCTTTGAATGATTGCAGAGATATTTGTCAAATGCTCTGTACTGTCATTAAATCTCTGCACGATCGGAAAACAAACAATGACGAACATGCTGTGAAAAGCTCAAAAAGGATGAACAAATGTCAACTATATCCTCGGATAACTTTTAGAACTAAGTGCTGGATGCAACGAGTGTTGATTATGAATCAAATTAACAACTAGTGTTCATATTGAAACCTGACGGAGCTCTCTAGCAAAATGTGCCATCTCTCCTTGGTGGGTTGACAAAGTGCTCTGAAGTTCATCAAACATGGAATTTGCTTCCACAGCCTCTGCGTCTAAAAACTGCAAGAAGGAAAGGAATATAGAAGGTATTCAAATCAAAAATAGATCTATTATTGTAATATGGACAGCAATCCAAATACATCAGAAGCTGAAATCAAAACTGCCATTTCGTACTTCTTTGGTGGAAATTGAATTAGAAGATGCCAAAGTTGAAACTTCCTCCAGAGTAGCATTAGAGGTAGCTTTATGCAGCCTCACTACATTTTGCATAGCCTCAAAGTGAGATATGTACAAGGCCATTGAAGAATTAATTTTCCTCTTCAAGTCTAGGACAGCCTACAAGAAAAAAAATTGACATTAAAAGTCTAAATGAACAGGACAGAACCAAAGAAAATCACAACAATCACTAGCAGAATAAATCAAACAAATGGAAGGGGAAATGCGGAAGATGAAAAAGGACAAGTGCCACTTGAACCTAGTAATAACCTTGTCATGTGAATCAAGAAAATTATGACAGAATTTCTCAACGCATTGGAGGTGTTCAGTTTGTCGACACACTGAAGTTGCCAATGTGCTGGAAAGAGAACCAAGTTGCTTCGCAAGCTCAGCTTGGAAGTTGTTTACCAGAGACCTATTATCAGTACTGAGTTTATCCTCTCTAGCTGGAAACAATAAAACAGATAAGATGAAGTGAGTAATCCTAACAAATCATGCAGCGGAAGTAATAAAATCCTTACCAATTTTTTGAAATAAGGAAGCATTCTCTTGAATTGATTTCTCCAAGTCGGCCCGTAAAACACATGCTTGGTGAGCCAGCGCATTTTCTGTGAATATCAGATTTCAAAATTAATACTAAATTCCAAAGGACTTCAAAACCAACATCCAGATAACTGTACCAGCTTTTTTTTGTTCAGAGATGATGAAATCCCGCTCCTTCAGAGTATATTGGGATTGTCTTAATTGTTCTTCAGTGTATGCTAGCAATTTGCTTGTTTGGTTCAATTGTTTCTGCAAGAACCTTTCATAATAAGAACTTGCAAACAAGTTGCAAACAGGACGAAGGAATAAAAGGCAAGCAATTCACCTGTGTTACATCAAGCTTACAAGTCAAATCTGAGCACTGCTGAACCTGACTGTCATGTCTACTTTGTAACTCCTCGAATTGCTGATTATTACAAACCAAACACAAGTTATTATTCACATAAGTGGAAAATATAGGAAATAGACAACTACAAGATTCTCCGTCAAGCACTACCTTCTGATGGTTTTCTATGCTAACTCCCATTTGTTCAATTTGATCCGCCATAGCCTAAAATTGAAAAGGTAAACGATTCTATATCAGAAAACTCTTACAATTAAAAAAGTGAATAAATCTTATTACTACATTCGAGATGAATACAGAAAATAAAAGGAACGGAGCTGTATGAGGCAATGAACCTGTGAATCTCAACAACAAGATATGATTGACAATAGAAAACTAAATCTTTTTACCACTCATTTCTTGAACAGCCAAAAGAAAAAAAAGGAAAATAATAAGGACAAAACAAAGATGGCCTACCTTTCTCTCATTCTCCTCCTGATAATATCGCTCTTTTGGTATATAAACACCATTTTTCTCACGAGCAGCATACACCTCTGGAAGAAAGTAGTTGAGAAATCAAAGGGGAATCAGTCAATGTTACTCAGAACTTATAAAAGAAGCCTTCACAATATCTCATAGACTAAAATATAAGACAATCACCTGCTTTAAGCCGCTCAATTTCACCATACAAATCCTTGATGAGGGTTGATTTCATCATTTTTTGATTGACCTACAGATTAACATCAAAGGAATAAGATATAGGCCAAGTAGAATTAAAATAATTGTTACAGTTCAAATTATTTTAAAAGTTATGTAGTTATCTGGGAAATAGCCTGTATTAGATGATGTTGCATCAAGTACTGCGCACACCCCAAATGTCAATAATTAAGTCCAAGTGAAAAATTCGAGTAAGAAACCAAAGTGACTAGATTCACTACCAGTGACAGAATTTGCTTTTAAAAATGTTAGCTAAGTCATTCATGTTCCCCAAAGGCTCTGAACTATTTCTGGCTGGTATAAACTTTTCCTGACAAAGAACTTTAACAATACTACCACAGTTTATGGCAGTAAATTTTGATGTTCTGTCCAACATCCCTCTAGTATTACACATCAAAAGAATAAATTCCATGCAGGTAGAGTTTTAAACTGGTAACCTGATTAACCAAATTCAATTCCTCCATTCCAAAAAGGGATAATATAACCACTGCCAGTGTATGGTAATTTAAAAATTAGGCCTGCTTCAGTACTTGTTCCAAACAACAATACTAAAACAAGCAAAAGAGGGAAGCTCACATATTGTTGTATAAGACACTAGAAAGATCACAGATCACTATGACATGATCAACATTTATGGAAAGATATCCATTTGGTTAAACAACATCAAAAACAGGCATATAAACAGTATATGTAAAGATGCTATATGTGAATACAAAGAGAAGTAAACATCAGGCAAAGATATTCTATATTGATACATTGAGAGTGAGACAGCAGCATAAGGTGATTCTCCTAGGAAACCATTTTACTTTTCACGAATTTACCTCAGGCTTATTCTTTATGTTTTTTGCTCTGTGTGCATAGTCTAGTGTACTCAGAGTCTCCTCAAGACAGTGCACAGCAGGTGACACTGTGGCAATTATACAGGTTTTTGTTCTTCCGCCTAATGAATCCCGCAGCAAACGCGTAAGTTTGCTATCTCTGGAATTTAAAGATAGCAAAATGGTGTGATAAGTATATAGATCCAAGAATAGATAAAGAACAACCAAAAACATTACAAACCTGTACGGGATGTGCCCAAGATGCTCAACAAGGGCATTAATCACTCGTCCAAGTGTGAGTAGACTTTTGTTTATTTCTCCAGCTTCCCTTGCACGACCCTAAGAATTAAAATTGCAAAGTGTTGACAGAACAGACTGATTTTTAGATTACTATAAGTGATAGCATAGATAGAAAGAGCGCAAGGTATGAAGTGCAAGTACCTCTAAGAGTGAGGTGCCTTACAGAAAGAAGAAAATTAAAACAACTGTATCTGTTTGATTAAACAAGACCAAGAAATGACTTTTGTCAAAGAGTGAACATATGGACAAGAAGATGTTTTACCTCCCTAGCTCCAGAGCGAGAAATGTTCTCCGAACCAGCCAAATCAACTAAATTTAACTTGCCACATTTTATAAGTTCTTCGCCTTCAGGGGTTGCTTCCTTGATGTGTATGGTTATGGAGAAAAGAGAATGTGACCGACTGAAAGAAAACCAATATGTCTATCATCTTGCAGACAAATGGTAATATAATGATTATCAAGACGAGCAAAAAAACATACCTTGATTGCTTATTGAGCAAGGTTTCTGCAGTTCGACGTTTTGCTGATCCCCTTTCAAGTAAGGTGAATATCTCATTGGCACTTGTCACAATTTCCTCTTCAAGCCCTCTAACTAGAACTCCACCTTTCCCATCTTCCATAAGTGGCAATTGTTTCTTCTGCCTGTCTTCTAAAGCAACTTTCAAATCCTCAGGGGCTAACAAGTCAGTGATTTCTTCATTATACAACTCTAAGAATGTAACTTTCACACTGTATTCTGCATTTTGACTCTCCAATGTATCAAATATTTGCTTCACTGCTCTAGGTATGACACCTGCTTCTTGTGGCAGCTCTCCATTAGGTCCGCTCTGTGATATCATACAATCAAAAATAAGAAACATTGTGCCTAAGCAAGCTTTTAAAGTAAACAGATGCTCAAAGCCTGCTATTCAGTACCTTGGACCTCTTGCATTCACCTTCCATAGTGTATGTCTTCCCTGTACCAGTTTGCCCATAAGCAAAAATTGTACAGTTAAATCCCTCTAAAACTTCATTGACAATTGGGACAATTGCTTGATCATAAAGGTCCCTTTGCTGTGCTGAGGGACCAAAAACCTGTACTTAACAACCAGAACAAGCATGAAAGGCATCATAAGCAACGCTTACTGAAATTACATGATATTTCATGAAAAGAATGTGAAACCCTAATCTCAAGAACGGGGGCAAGGGAAATTTTCTACCAAGATATTCAATGCCTATCAAGTACTAGGATCACCTCACCTTTCAGCAATAATAAACACCAAAATGGCAATCCAAAAAAATGCATTCAGAAAGCAGAACAAAACAGAATCTCATTCTGAAACACCCCAATAATGGCTATGGCGAAAATGTGATATAGTTAACATTAGCATTGCTAAAGAAGCCCAAAGTAGACAGACATGTTGGTGTGAGTACAACCACCTCTACTCCAACAACTTTCAAATCTCCACTTTCAAATAACAAGAATCCTCAGTCCTCAGTTTACTACACCCTACTCAACATGGGCCACAATACTCATATTTGTACTTGAGATGATTTAAATGGAGTAAAGTGCTTAGTGAGGATTCATATAGCCGACCCCAACTTGTTTGGGACTGAGATGAAGTTGTTGTGTTACATTAATGAGCAAAACCTAAAGTTGATTTTTTTTCTATTCTGCAGCAAGACATTAACTCCAAATTACGACAAAATGTTTAATCAAGTTGGTAATCACACTAAGTTCCTATTTTGAGGTTAATGTTCAAATTCTAAACAGAACCAGCTCTAATTAAAGTAATCGAACAGGAGACACATTACCTTATCGAAAGTAAAAATCCTATCGATGTGTTTTCCAGCAATGTTCTGAGAAACGGCGACCTCTCTCTGATAATCATTGCAAGTCACCACTTGCGGAGCATTATTCCGCAACTCATCGTTACTAAACGGCCTGAAAATCAACCCGAAAATCATCACCACCAGGATTTTTTTAAAAAAAAAGAGAAAAAAAAAGACAAAAGTCGAGAAAATAGACCACCCAATTTGCAAATACACCAAAAAAAGGAGAAACCCTAATTTTGCAAATTTCCGAACTTGTTCGAAGTACCTGCAACGAAGCAGAACCTGAACATTTACACCTTTCTCCTTATTTGACATCTTAAAACGTTGAACACAGGGTGAACCTATGCTTCTATTTGGTGTACTTGATTGAGCCACTGTGTGTGCTCGGTGTTTGTGCGTGTTTTTCTGGGAGCTTGTGCCTTCACTTTGGGAGTTTTGATTGAGACACTGTGTGTTTTGGGTGTTTGTGCGTTTTTTCTGTGTGTTTGTGTGTGTGAGAGAGAGTGTGTGTGCGGAGGTGGGGGTGGGGGGGAGGAGTAGCCGTTTGGGTTTTTGGGGAAGATCTGAAAATGGAAGCGGGACGAAGAGGAGAATTTGAATTTTAAGAGAGGCGCGTTTGGGAATTGATCGGACCGTTGATTTTCTTGGGTCATTAAATGGACGGTTGATATAAATTATGATGTCTGAATTGTAGATTTTGTTGCTAATTGACAGAATTGCTTTCGAGCTCTTAATGGGCTTTTGTTAAGCCCAATTTATCTGTGATTCTTTAAGGGATCTTTACACAAGTAGCCGCTCAGATTTATTGTTTACTTGTATACATATATTATACACTGATTATATACGTTATGCACATAATACACATGAATTATAGATATACAAGAATTTCAAAAAAAATTAAGTTTATTATTTTTAAGAAATAAAAAGATTACATCATTCTTAGTTTGAGTTTAACTTTTTTGCAGTGATAATGTATCTCTTTTTTTTTATACTATCATGTTAAGGTGATTTATTATAAAGGTGCTTAGTACATCTAGTTTGATAACCTAGTAAACAAAGTAAATAACCTGCTTAAAATTCAATTAAGTACAATATTTGTATGAAATATTCTCATTGTCAGTTTAAATAAAGTTATATTCATATTTCACTATTGTGTGAAAAACTACAAAATGTCACAAATAGTATCATTTTGCAAATATAGACCCAGGGAGAGACATTCTTTTCCTCCTATCCTCCTTCTTCCTCATCCTCCCCCTTCTTCTTTCTGATGTGATTTAGCTCAAACTTTAATTAAATTAAAGTAAAAATTTGTTGACCAAAAAAAAAAAAGTGTTTGTTTCGTCTCCTCGGTTCTCGTTTTCTTCTCATGCTTCATCTTCTTCTTGTTCTCTATCCCTTTTTTTAATGCTGCATATTTGTATCTTGTGTATCTAGAAAACAAGTAATATGATCGCAAAAAAAAAAAAAAAAA